CCGCAACTGCTTTGGCTTCATGGGAACTGCGAACCCAGAATCAGGATATCACTTGAGAATCTTTAAAGTTTGGCACCTTTAGCCTTGGCTTCAATGTCTAATCCCAAGACATCCCAGATGGGGACTGGTGTTTTTTGCGACAGTAACCGGGGTATTTCCAGACGGTTATGTTGATCGGTGTTTTTTTGGCCGGTAGCCGGTGTTTTTTGCGACGGTGCCCCCACAATTGTGTTTTTTGCGCCAGTGGTCGGTGTATTTTGCGACAGTGGCCGGTGATAACTCGAATGGTAGTGGTTCGCAGCACAGTAGAGGAGGAGGAAAAGGAGTCAAGGAGGATGAGGAGTCGAGGCGGAGGAGGAGGGTGAAGGAGCCGTCTCTATGCCACAGAGGTCTGGAGAGGCTTGATCGCTAGCATAGGATAGAAGCTATAGGAGGAGGATCCCTCCTACCTTAATGAAATTATTTCAGGGGGGTTACCCTCCAAAATAATTTTTTGAAAATAGTTTCAAACATCTAACATGTTGGATGTATAGATTTGTAGACTCTAACCATCACCAAAATAATTTATGGTTAGAAATTATTTTGATGGGTTACCCCCCCCCTCAAAATAATTTTGACGAAAACACTCTCACAGCAAAAAAATATTTCAAAATAATTTTAGTGTTTATATGACAGGTTAGGAAAATCACTACAGGAAAGGGCCAGGTTGAATACTATTTTGTGGTATTTCCCACGGGGAGAAATTATTTTAGGGGTATTGGAGATACCCTGCACTCCTCAAAAACCAAAGTGAGCAGCTGCCAGAACCATCCAACTCGCCCATAAACTGGAAAAAATGAAAAACCTATCAAAACCAAACGCTTCCCCAAAAAAAGTTCTTTGGAGGGAAATGAAGGGAATATTGGAGAAAGAGGGAAAAACATGAAAGGCTAGAAAAACCACTATAGCAAAGAGCTAAGTTGAATACCATTTTGTGCGATTTCCCAAGAGAAATTATTCTAGGGGTATTGGAGATGCCTCGCACTTCCCAAAATTCAAAGTGAGCAGCTGCCAGAACCATCCAACTCGCCCAGAAACTGGAAACAATTGAACAATCTATCAAAACCGAACGCTTCCCAAAAACGAGTTCTTTGGAGGGAAATGAAGGGAATATGGAAGAAATAAGAGGAAATATGACAGGTTAGGAAAATCACTACAGGAAAGGAATACTATTTTGTGGGATTTCCCAAGCGGAGAAATTATTTTAGGGGTATTGGAGATACCCTGCACTCCTCAAAAATCAAAGTGAGCAGCTGCCAGAACCATCCAACTCGCCCATAAACTGGAAACAAATGAAAAACCTATCAAAACCGAACGCTTCCCAAAAAAGAGTTCTTTGGAGGGAAATGAAGGGAATATGGAAGAAGAGAAAGGAAATATGACAGGTTATGAAAATCAGTACAGGAAAGGGCCAGGTTGAATACTATTTTGTGGGATTTCCCACGGGGAGAAATTATTTTAGGGGTATTGGAGATACCCTGCACTCCTCAAAAACCAAAGCGAGCAGCTGCCAGAACCATCCAACTCGCCCATAAACTGGAAAAAAATGAAAAACCTATCAAAACCGAACGCTTCCCAAAAATGAGTTAGGGAATATGGGAGAAATAATGGGAAATATGACAGGTTAGGAAAATCACTACAGGAAAGGGCCAGGTTGAATACCATTCCGTGGGATTTCCCAAGGGGAGAAATTATTTTAGGGGTATTGGAGATACCCTGCGCTCCTCAAGAATCAAAGTGAGCAGCTGCCAGCTGAAAAAAAACTATAAACACCGAATGCTTTCCCTTTCACACTCATTCCCACCGAGTGTTCTTTGGAAGGTAATGAAGAAATGTGAGAGAAATGTGGGGAAGTATATATGAACAAAATGGAAATATGTAGGAAAGAGCCAGTGATGAAGATGATGGTTGAACATCATTTTGCGGGAATCCCCAAGTGTTTTTCTTTAATCTTTTTTTTGTTCAACCATTTAAAATTTAGATGAAATTATTTCAAAACATAGTTATTCCAGGGTATATTGAAGGCTTAGATTATAACTCGCATATTCCAATATGCACATCCGTAGGCCCACTGCTTAGGAAACTTATTCAACAACATGTTTTCTTTAAACATATTCCAAAACCTGGTTGATACCCCCGCGTTTTTCTTGAAGGGATGGAATATCCCCGGTACACCTGCGAAGGCGATCATGTCGGGTAGGGGGGGGGTCCCAAAGTATACATATGTAAAGATTGGAGTCTCCGGAGGGGGGCAAAATAATTAACCCCCCAGGGGTTGAAATAATTTTTACGAAGGTTCACCACCGTCGATGAAGGGGAGGGGGGGGGTCTATCGTAAGAAATTATTTTACCCTAAAGAGGGTTGTTTCGTATAACAACCGAAGACACTATCAACCCCCTGAAAATAATTTTGGAAATTATTTTGAGGGGGGGGGAGGAGGGGGGGTAGTTTAGGTAGGGT